CTGTCCTTTGTGCCACGTTGTGCAGGAGGAACAGAGCAGTTGGAGTCTGAGTCCTGTGGCCGTCTGTGTGCATCTGCAGGGCTGACTGCACTGTTGTCCTCAGTGACAGGCGCTCGTGGGGCTGGTTGCCACAGGTAAGGCGAAGGCGTAGGGAGGAGAGAAGGAGATGCAGGGAGGGGGACAGAAAGAAGGATTTGGGATAGCAGAGTGTGCCCAAGAGTTGTCTCTGTTTCTCCACCTCCTGGTGCCTCCTCATATCGTGAACAACGACTCGTATGTTAAGAATCACAGGTATAGAACTTTAGATTCTGAAGGGACCTGGATTGTCTCCTTCAAACTATTAATTTATAAATAAGAATGCAATGTATGGTGATAAAGTGACTTCTTATCCACGGTTGTAAAGCTAATGAATAGTACAGCTGGGGCTTGGGTTCGGTTCTTTTGACTCTAAATCCAGTCTGCTTATACAACCTCTGGTGGTTTGTTTGCATCTGTTAACAAATATTTAGTGAGGAGCTTTTAGGTACAAATGTATGGTAAGTAGGAAACGTGCATTCATATATGTCCTCAAATTTACTGGCTGAGATAAGGAAGTACCCTAATATTGGTAGTACTAAGATGTGTTCAGTGAAGTGAGAATGACACAAAAGATGTTGATTTTATTTTATTTTTTTAAAAGATTTTATTTATTTATTTGACAGAGAGACACAGAGAGGGAGAAGCAGGCTTCCCTTGGAGCAGGGAGCCCAATGTGGGGCTCGATCCCAGGACCCCAGGGTCATGACCTGAGCCGAAGGCAGTCGCTTAACCGACTGAGCCACCCAGGCGCCCAAAAGATGTTGATTTTAAAGCATATACATTTTGGGGCGCCTGGGTGGCTCAGTCGGTTAAGCGACTGCCTTCGGCTCAGGTGATGGTTCCAGGGTCCTGGGATTGAGCCCCGCATCGGGCTCCCTGCTTGGTGGGAAGCCTGCTTCTCCCTCTCCCACTCCCCCTGCTTGTGTTCCCTGTCTCACTGTTTCTCTCTCTTTCTCTGTCAATTAAATAAATAAATAAAATCTTAAAAAAAAAGCATATACATTTTTTGTTTTCTACTTCATAATAACTTGTGTTTTGTTATAAAAATAGTGTTTATTCACTATATAGATTCTAGATGTTGGCAGAACATACCACCTACATCTCACTACCTAGAAAAATTTTCATATATGTTTGCATACGTATTTTTAAAATTACAAGAAGGGAATTATTCTAGCAGATTCTCTTCCAGCCTGATCTGTAACTTGGAGAACCAGGCTGGGAGAACTGAGAATAGCCAGGGGGTGGTAAACACTGCCAGATCTTGCTACAGCAGTAGTTGGAAGTCTGAATGGACAAAGTTTAAGGGAGACTTAAAGTCTCAGCTAGAGTGGAGTTGGTGTGTTGGGGAATAGGCATTGGAGTGTTGAGGACTAGTGGTTATTGGGTAGAAGGCAAATTATTGTCAGAACGGCAGGGCTTTTTCTCCTTCCTCTGGCCAGAGTTTGTTTTGAGGTTATTTCAGTGGAAGAATTACCACTGGGACCCAGAAGTCAGTGGTCTGGATCTCCCAAGTTTAGCTAGGAAATGTTAGTGAGCTGTAGGATGTGAAGGTAAGCTTCTTGGTGTCAGACAATCATGATCAACCTATTAAGGATCCTTTTTTTCTGGAGGGAGTCCTGGTAGAGCTGAAAAAGGTAATGAACTGGAAGTTTAAAGCCTCTGATATATAATGATTAGCCAGTGGTTTTTGCTTTTTTTCTGGATTTTTTTTTTTTAATAGTTTCCTGGTCTTTTCCAGAAATTTATTTGCCTCTTCTACCAGTTGCTTGCATATAAAAGACTGGTAAATTAATGTAAAATGAAGTTCCTCCTAAATTCTAACGGGATACATAAATGTAACATGGTATTACTACTGATGGTGAAAATGAGATTTTTTTGTTGTGTTTCAGATTCAGGGCTTCTTATTTGGTGCCTAGAATGTTTCTTACAATAACCTGTCTAATATGGAGTTCCAGAATGTAGATCATGTGAAGAACATTTATTTCTCTTTATACTTACACCAAGCCTCAGTCCTTGGATATTGCTTTTGAAATATAAAAAGCTAGCTCGTGGGTAAATAGACTATCCTTGTAAGCATTTGAAAAAAGAAAAGAAAAGAAGAGAAATGTGCTTCTGGCTTCTTTTTAGATACGTTTTTATTTCTGAAATGAAAGCTTACCAGAAATTTTTGGGTATTGGTGTGGGGGAGATATTTGTGCTTTATGTTGTTACAGGGAAAAGATGTGTGTGATGTTGAATAGTTAAAGTGGCCAGTGATGATCTTTTTGATAGATGCTTGCCTTGTGGGATTTGACTTGGGACATTTTTTCCATTTTCCTTTGGGAATTTTGTTCTTTTAAATTTCAGTGTTGCATTCTGTCTTAACCTTGTGCAGATCTATCTGTCATTTAGCTTGTTATGGTTGTAAAAGTTTGGATATGGCCCTTGTGTGACTTGACTCCTGATCTATTATTCCAGGTTATCCCTGGGTGGATGAATGGGTAGACAAGATAGATGTAATGATTAGGCTTATTATTCCTGCTTCTTAGTCTGAAGATCCGAGGGCTTCGGCGGATGCTGTTTTGATACCTTCGAGATTTCTATTTACCTCTGTACTGGCTTTGGAGGTTGAGAGGCTCTCAGATCCCTTGTCTGCTCTGGATGTCACCTCACTACTTCATATACTGGTGATTTCTGCCTTCACAGATGATTTAGTCCAACACTGCTTAGGGGAAATGCTTTGAATTCATATTTCTTCATAGTAAATGATGATGAAACATTTTGAATTATAATAGTTGGTGTTGAAATACAATGAGGAAGTATTTGGTATTAGTTTCTCATTTATGAAACAGTAAAAGGAGTAAATGTATGTTCAGCTTTACTCCTTTCTCTCCCTGTGTAATGCACATGCATTTAGAAACCCTAGAAAAGCTAATCACGAAGAAGGTGCAACTTCTACTGGACTTGCTCAAAGGCTGCCTTTTCTCCCTGGAAAACTTGACTCTCCCCTAATGTTTGACTAATTCCTAATTTTTTAGGTCTTTGCTCGTAGATGTCATTTGCTTAGGGCAGTTTTCTTGACTCCTGGACAACATTCAGTAGCGCTCTCTTGTGTCTTTACAGCTTCCTGGATGCCTACCGTCACACCCATGCCACTTCATTGTTAGTTCCTGGTTTTACTGTCTGTCCCTAGTAGTCTGTGAGCTCTGTGACAGCCAGAACTATGTCAGTTTTAGTGCCTGGCATTTAGTGGCCCCTTAAAATTTTGTTAAATTTATGAATTAAAGAGAACTTTTAGCACTTTCGATAGGTTTTATTTCATACTTTTCTCTGTGTGTACGCATGTGTACATACAGATATTTCTGTAAAGATATTACACTGGAATTTCACCTTGTGTGTAGGAGTGCAGTTGTGAAATCAGCACGAGGTGAAAGTTGCTCTTCTGTCTTTCTGGTACCTACAGTAAGTCAACACAGTCAGTTTTCCCCTCCAGTGTTCAGTGATAAAATTGTACTTGCGTACAGTGGTATTCTAGCTCTCTAGACACAGGCGTCCAGAGTCCTCCAAAACCAGGCTCTGATGTCCCTTTCTGGCAATCTTTTTTGCTGTTCATTTAGTTACACTGGCTTCCGTTGCATTTCTCCTATCTTTAGTGAATCTACATTTGCCTTGTATTTTCTGATTTCTACTCCTTTGTTCATGCTATTCTACCCCTTTGGAAGACCTTAGCGTTTCCCTTTTTGTATTGACTTTCAAAGTCCTCCTCAGATTCCATCTGCTCTGACAGGTTTGTGTTTCTCTGGCTGATCCTGAGTGGTCTCTTTCCACTTCTGAGTTTGTGGCATTTATTGCCCCTGGTAGTCCTTTTACGTTTAGTGGTGTACCATCTCGGGGGACGTTTTGTGGGATTTCTTGCTTTTGTGTGTGTTTGTGTTTTCTAGTCGGCTAGATTGTTAGATCACTGAAGACAGGGCTATTTTTCTATTTCTTTGTGGTGTTCGCAGTTTAGGCCTGGCACCTTTCTCACTAAATAATTTATTTATATTTAAAAATTTGCATGAACCCTGAACAGAGTGTTTGATGAGAATACTTCTTGTTTTGTTTCTTTTAAAAAAAATTCCACAAACCCCCAATTCCATTTTGTCTTCCTGCTTGCACACAATGGCTGACACTGAGTTATCAGGGAAATCTGTATGCAGGTGGCACAAAAAGCTCTAACTGTGGGTGCATTGTGGCCCACTTAAATAGAAATTCTGGTGGTATAGCATGAAATAAGAATTTTACTAGGTAAAGGAAGAGAAGCACGTGAATTGGAGGTTGGTTTTTCATTTGAGCAGAGATCCATTTCTTAAAACTGACGCCATTAAACAAGGTTACTCCCAAGGTATAAAATCCCCAGAAAGATGATTTGATTTCCTTAATGTACTGGGTACCATGTTTCTTAAATTACTAATTATATTACAATTCTCTTGTGGCTTGAATGGGAAATTGTCTTTTTTCTATAGGTAGAGAGCTATTTAAGAAATTCTTTTTAGGGGCTCCTGAGTGGCTTAGTCCTTTAAGCTTCTGCCTCTTGATTCCGGCTCAGGTCATGATCTCAGGGTCGTGAGATCGAGCCCCGTGTCAGGCTCTGTGCTGGGCATGGAGCCTGCTTAAGATTCTCTCTCTCCATTTCCCTCTGCCCCTCTGTCCTTAAAGAAAAAAAAAAAAAGAAAAGAAAAATTCTTTTTAGTTGATTTGTTTCTTAGGATCTGGCTCTCCTGTGGTACAGCTTAAAAGTCACTCAGAATTATAATTAGTGGTAAAATTTTGGAAAAGATGCACAGAGCCCTAGTTTTCTCTTGTCACAGAAGTTAAAAAAAATGGTATTCCTAATATTTACTAATTAGGTGAAGTTGCTTCTGTGTTACCTATTCATCAAACTATTAAAATATAAAATGCAGATTGCACTGATGTGGAAGAGATTTTTTGTTTATTTGTTTAGGTACAAAGAGGATGGTGAAGCCTTATTAATTTTGCTTCCCTCAGAAGAAAAAGGGATGGTGCAGCAGCTTCTCCAGAAGAAAGTGCCTGTGAAGGATATCAAGTAAGAACTGCTGGGTGTCTTGATGTGATTGTTAGGAGAACAGAGGCACAGAACTATTACGCTGAATTATGTACACTTAATTCCCTTCTCCCTCTTGTCTTCTGCTGTCTGATTTGTGACTTTTTTGTTTGTTTGTTTTTTTTTAAACAAGTTTTCAAAGACTTCATGGAGAAAATAAGATGAAACAGAGAACTAGTTACCTTCAACAGGCGTTGGGAGTTGAGAGGATTATACCTCTTGGATGAGATTTGTAGGGTTATGTGTCCATTTTGGAGGATTGTTCTGTCTGTTGAAGATATTTAGATTGTCAGCAGAATTGGTCAGGATCAGAGTTTCACCTGCACTGGGGTCCTTGAAACACCATGGCTTTACTTGGAAGGAAATAACTTGGAGGGTGTTTAGGTGGAGGGGGGGGTGGAGGGGTTGGATAAGGGTTCGATGAGTTGTTAATTGTTGAAGCCCACTGAGGGTTTTCTACCTTTTGTGTCTTTGATTTTATATGTGATTTTATAATTAAAAGAAAGTAAAGAACACCTTATCCATCCCCAATTACCACCACCTTGGCTTTGTAGAAGCAAAGTAGTTCAGTCTAAACTCAGGGAAACAAGTGGGATTTCTTTTGTGAGACATAGACTCCAAAAAGAATTTCATTCTTTCCTATAGCCTCCCTTGGAGGAGTTAAGTAATGATTCTGTTATTGTGCCTAATCTCCAAGTAAGGAAAACATTATTTATGTCTTTTGGTTACTTATTTATTATTTGAAACTAGTTTTATAATATTTGACTGAAAATGGAAGAACTTACAAAAATGACATTAGATTTCATATATTTTATTTCATGGCAGTAGATCTCCCATGAGGGGCTATTTTCCAACTTCATGGATATAAGAAGTAACCAATGATAATTGGATGTTAACCTTAGTATTTTTCACTCAGGATGGGGTGTTGAGAAAAGATTTCTGATCTTGATTTTCCCCCCCTGCATTATGTATAATATGTGAGAATCAAATTTATGTCTGGTGTAATTTCAGTCTACTCTGGCTCCTCAATGAGAAATAATGTTATAGATTTAAAAATATTGAGGGGCGCCTGGGTGGCTCAGTCCTTAGGCATCTGCTTTCGGCTCAGGTCATTATCCCAGGGTCCTGAGATCAAGCCCCACATTGGGCTCCCTGCTCGGCGGGAAACCTGCTTCTCCCTCTCCCACTCCCCCTGCTTGTGTTCCCTCTCTCGCTGTGTCTCTCTCTGTCAAATAAATAAATAAAATCTTAAAAAAAAAATATTGAGAAAAATAGGAAAATGCTATATGCTATCTTCAGTTTCTAAAATTGAGATGTCCTAGTTTAACCTTTTTTTTTGTTACAAAGAATCAACCCAGAAAAACTTATCGACATCCAGAAAAAATTGGAATCATTTTTAGCACAAGATCAAGATTTAAAAGAAAGAGCTCAAAGGGTAAGTCATTGGTAAATTGGATACCTTAGTTGGAATGGACCATATAATAAAGTTAAAATTCGTTTTCTATTACTTCTGGGTTTCATGGTTATGCTTCAGATATTCAAGTAGTACAATTCGCAGATAACTTTATCATATTCTTTAACTTTTAAAAAGATTATGTATTTCTTAGAGTAACCCGGGAAACTGTCAGTCAGCTCTGTGCTTCTTTAGCAAACTTACTGTAATTTCTTAATATTAGGTTAAATTTCTAGAAAGCGTAGCACTTTTACTAAATTGTCTTTAGGAATGAAATTTTTGTCTATAAATATGACTTAATGTTCCCAAATTACTCTTTTGACTTAAAAATCCTTTTGATTAGCAAATACAAAGAATTCTCACTTTCAGTTAAACTTACTTGTTAGTTCTTAGAGCGCCCAGCAATAGATGCTTTAGGAAAGGAAGAAGGGAAATAGTTTTGGGTTGTGCTTACAGCTACCCAGTTTTTAAATGGACAAATATTTGAGTCCCAGTTATAAAGCTCTTTTCACCATGCTTTTACTTTCATTCAGGTTATGAGATCTACATAGGATCTCTATCTCTGCATCTCCCATAACATATCAGCAGTGAGTTAAGAGAGTTAGGATTCAGAAGTTGGATTCTATTTCAGCAGATAGATGAAGTGAGGGGAAGGAAGTAAGAGGAGATGTGGAAAGAGCATCCTAAGTAGATAAGGAGTCTGAGCAGAAAAACGGTCAGTAGTAAGGCTTTTATGTTATGGTTTGGAAACTGGATATTCTTGGGAAGGAAGTTTTATTTAAAAGCAGATCTTACATTTCTTTTTAAAAATTAACTTATGTTGTATTTTATCAAGTTAGCCTCACTGTGCTTAAAATAACATGAGTGATGAAAGCTAAAATTTGAATGCTTACTTGGTGTTAAGCACTTAGTCATGACATGACTCGGGTACATGGCGGTTTGATATGCTCTTAACTTCATCTTCCCAACAACCCGTGAGAGAGGTGGTAGCGATGATTTTATACAGGAGTAAATAATAGATTGAGAAAATTAAAAATTGTCCAGGGTCACATAAGGTTTTAAGTAGCAGGCCTGAGACTGAAATCCATGTGTGACTTTCTTCAGAACTTCCATGATACATCAGAAAATCAAATATGGAACTGTGCAAAGTTGAATTTCTAGCAGCTCACTTCACCTGAAACCTAATGAAAAGGGCCTTTAAAGGAAAAAAAATTTTTTCTTAATTTTTGAATATGCAAACATTTGTGTGCGTATTTTGTCCAGTAGACGTACTTTAAGCTAGGAGTTAACTCTTTCTTTTAACAGCTTTGGAAATAGTATGCACATTTAAAAATATTATACATGAATTCTGAAATATTGTGACTTACTGCATACCTAAGAGGTCATTCAATTATGAATCAGGAGATAAGGAACATTGGAAGGATGTTTCACTGGTTTGTGCATACAACAAATGAGCCTTCCAGAACAAAGATTATAGAATGCACATTGAAATAAATGATGTGATTTATTGGGTGTTACGCATGGTTTAGCAGAATGGCTAACTGCGGTGCCAGCAGCAGCAAGCTATCTAGCTTAATAGAAGTGATTTTCTAGCTTTTGATTATAATCTGGATAGAACAAAAATGATAGGCAACAGGGGTGATTTTTTTTTGTGTGTGTGTGTGAACAACTGTAGGGGAAAAAATTATCCTTGAACTGGAGCCATTCATTGTTTTTCATGCGTATGGAGGCAGGGAAAATGGTTTGAAGAAAGGGTTAGTATAAAGTTAGAGCAAATGTGAAGTTCAGGAGATACAGAAATGGGAATTATATATACTTTATAAAAATTATTTTTAAAATAATGCTTGCTTAGATGTGTTTCATCATCTTTGTTGCTTGACTATGTTAAGACTGACAAAGGATCAGGATCATGTTTACTTTTTGGTTTATATAGTTCTTGGTATAAAGATACCTTTTTTCTTTTTAAACACCGAAGAAAAATAGCACAAGATGATGATGACAAATTAATTGACATGATAATATAAAAGGGAAGGCTTTAGAAATAAACTTTTTTCTGTCATGATTTTATTAAGCTTAATTTAAATACAGTAACATTTTATTTTGTTGGAAAACATATCCTTTGACTACTAAAATAATTACTATTAATAGCTAGTATTTATTGGTATTTACTGTATTCCAGAAGATATGCCCAGGTACTCTAGATATAGTTTTTTGGTTAGTTTCTCCCATAACACTTGAAGTAGAAGGTGCTATGATCTCTGATAGATGAGGAAACTGGCAGAAACCCAAGAGATTTGCTCAGCTAGTAAGATAAGGAGCTCAGATTGTCATCTGTATGATCCCAAAGCCTTCGTTTTCCCCCCATGATACCCTACTGCAACAGAATGATACTAACTTCTAGAATAGTTTTTTGAGGTGATATTCTATGTTGATTTGGTTTGATGAAAACAAATTTAAAGTCTTATCTAATATCACAGTTCTAAAAAGGTAGGGTTTTTTTTTTGTTGGTTTTTTTTTTGTTTTTTGTGGGAAGGAGATAAGCTCAACTATTTTTTAAGATTTTTCACTACTGTTGAATTTATCCCTTTGGTTAATTTTCTTTTATCTGGTTTAAATTTATTTTCCATTCCTGACTGTTATATATCATGCATTTAAACTACTTATTTTTACAGTGTTTTGTCTCCTATATACGCTCCGTGTATCTGATGAAGGATAAAGAAATATTTGATGTGAGCAAGTTACCTATACCTGAATATGCCTTGTAAGTATTCATATTACAGTTCTGATTGTGAATCCTCAAAGTTAGAGCTCATTTGTCTGAAATCTGGTTCTCTGAGAGGCCTCGTTGAAACTGCTCTGCCTTACCTTAAAAGATCTGTTAAAGATCTGGAAAGAAAAAGATTATGTAAACTAGAAAATAGGTGAGTATTAATTTCTTGCTATCATACAGAAGTTTCTTACTTGTAAGTGAAAATTTCTGAAGGTTACACTGGAAGTTTCCTGTAGCTTTGTCTTAAAGGAGATGGAGAACAGTTGATGGGCATTGTTGGAAATCTTTAAATGTCTGCAGTCCTTTTGTTCTTAGGAATGCTGTCCTGGAACACTGTAGACCGTTCTTTTTTTATACTTTTGAAATAAGTTTCCTTGTCATTTCTTCCCTTATTTTAGGTTGATCCCCATTAACTGCTTGCTTATTACCTGAATATTTTTTGTGTCTTGGTGTTTCTTATAGGTACTCACAGTGACCATGGCAAAATGTCCCTGTTTAGTAACTGAGGTTACTATTACATAAAAAAGGAACTCTTGGTTTTGTTTTGGCTTAGTATTTGAAGGACTTCTTTTCTTAACCCTTTCAGCTATAAAGGAGGGATGCTCATTTTTCAGTGGGGTTCTACCTGTGGGAAAAGCATTGACAAAATCCTATAGAAGCACCCTTGAGGTTAATCATATGTTGAATGTCAGCATAAAATTTCCCAGTCTGTGATGAAATATGTATTTTCAAGGCAAGGTCTGTATATTTGTCCTGCTCTCCAGGAATTTGAATGCCTTTACCTGTAAATGGAGTCTGATAAAAACTCGTATCTGGGAGAACTGCTGTTTTCTGCTCTTCACATTAGATTGTGAGTTTAGTATAACAGATAATTTGTCAGTTGTAACATTTTAGAATGATTCAGATTGTTAGATAACAGCGTGAGGCTCCTGACTGTGTAGGTAATTGATGGAAAACTGCATTCCATGGATATAATCTGTTTTTGTCACTTACCTGTTTATGTAGTAGTTACTAATCTCACCATTTCTGAATACAATTCATGGTTTACGTTATTGGCTCCTTTTTTGTACTCTACAAAGAAGTTCTGTCCTGGTTTTCTGATTGACTTATTGAGGTATTAGCAAACAGGGGAGGCACAGGGCTTTAACACTGGAGGGTCATATTTATGGGACATTTTATTGCTGCAAATGCCAGGAAATCTCATCTGTTCACAGTTGAAGACCTTTGCTTTTTATTGGTGATGTTAAGGGAAGGCAGAGCCTAAATAATGGGTACAGTTTAATGTAGTGTTGCTTAATTTTTGTGGATGTTTAGACATGTAATTTCCTTGATTTATAAATTCCTAAAGCAGTGTTAGACATGTAGGATATAATAAATGTTTTTAAAAATTATTTTCCTAAAGAAACATGTTTTGAACAGCTAATATGTATAGTTCATTGTGCTAGATGTTAAAATTACAGATGTATGTACTCCTACCTTAAAGGAGCTCCAAGTTTTAGTAGCTGAGAGAGACACATAAATACAATTGTAATACACTGAGCGAGACTTTCTGGTGGATGTGAGTTTGTCCCCATAACAGTAATAATGGCAAGTGCTCAGTAGTGGCTGCGTATGTACCGGGCAGTATTTTAAGTGCATGGCATCTGTGAACTTGTTTTACTCTTACAACAACCCTTTAATGTCGATACTGATCATGCTATTTTGCAAATAAGAGAACTGAGGAATAGAGGTTAAGTAGCATCCTTTGGTCACCTGGCTAGTGGGTGACAGTCAGGATTTGAACCTCAACAGTCCCATTTCTGAGTCTATGCTTTTACCACGGCACCTCTCAGTTTCTTGAATCTTGTCTCATAGGAAACAGGCAGTGGATCCATGTCATAATGTTAGCTGTTTATCACAGCAGGGCTGGCTTTACGAGTTTATTTCCAATCCGTTAGTCAGAACTTAGGAGCTGGGAAAGACCTGATCATAAAGTGAATCTTGATCTTAGAAAGAGAAAATAATTCTTCTTTTCTTTTTTGATCTCTTGTTTAGAAATCCTATTTTTGTAGAAGTGATTATGTCGTATTAAGTGTCTAAGAGGAGTGGACAGTGATAACTCGCATTTATTCTTTGCAGAGAACTGTTCTGTCCTTTCATGTCTTTTTCCATGTCCATGTCTTTTTCAGCTTTAGTGTTTATGTTTCGCAAAGTGTTTTCACTTAGCAAGTAAGATTGTTAGAACAGCTGTGAGATGGGCCTGGTAGGTACTCTTACCCCATCTTTGTGGAAGCTGAGGCTGAGAGAGGTAAACTGAACATAGGCAGATTTAGTACCTGAGCTGTTTCCTTGTTTCTGGTCTCGTGCTCTTTATTTTGTACCTTGTTAACCTCTTAATGAAAAATGGGGTATTTCTAATGTTTTCTGACAGGTGTTCTGTATTTTTTGGCTTGCCTTTTGGATGATCTAACCTGTCAAGATTGAGTTGTATCTCAGAGGAGTGTTTTCTTTAAAAAAAGCTCCCAAAATAGAAATCCAATCTTAACTGTTGCATAATAACATAAGCACATCATCAGTGTACTGAGATAACTATTTTCATTTGCTCATATTTAAGGTCTCTTGGTCTTGCTGTGGCACCACGGGTAAGATTTCTTCAGAAAATGCAGAAACAACCCACCAAAGAATTGGTGGTGAGCCAAGATAATAAAGTAATTGAACCAAGGGCTCCCTCCCTCACCAATGATGAAGTGGAAGAATTTAGAGCCTACTTCAATGAGAAAATGTCCATCCTTCAGAAAGGTGGGAAAAGACCAGAAGGGACAGAATACACACTGGCTAATGGGATCAGTGATGAAGAGGAAGAAGAGAAGGAAGATGAGGAAGAAATGGAAGAGAAACTGGCAAAAACAAAAGAGCCTCAGCCTCCATCTGTCCCTAGCACTGGGGAGTCCAAGGAAGCTCCTGGGCAGTTTTTGGACAGAGATGAGGAGGAGGAGGATGGACACAATGCTGATTTCTTTACAGTGAAGCGGCACAATGTATTTGGGTTGGACCTTCAAGATAACAAAGCAGTACAGGTAAGTTTACCCCCAGTGAAGGGTCTTCTGTTATTTCCCACCATTTCTTACCCTGTGTGCTGCTTGTGTGGCCTTTGGGGAAATATGGGGGAAATAAAGACTAGGAGAAATTTGTAGGATGACTTTCTTTGCAGTGAACTCTCCCCTCCTTCTCCATATTTAAAGATGGAATAGGTGCCTGAGAATTCTCATTGTTCATAACTTTGGGAACTCTAAGAGGGCTGACAAATTTAATCTTCTCCTTTGCCATTCTTCTGAGGCATGTTTTAAAAAGTGGCTGGAGTCATGGTTATAGTGTTAAGGAAGGCAGGTGATGGGGTTCTATGGTTTATGGTGTGAGGATCCTTCACTGTGATTCTTAACATACTACTTTCTGATTTAAATCGTTATAAATGTTCCTTACAATGATTTAATCTCCCTAAGCATGAATTTTACTTTTAATGAGACATTTGCTTTTGGGCACCAACCCAGTATCTTAAATAGAAAGCCAGCATTCCTTTTTAAAAGCCACTTATGAAGGTTTATTAAAAGTTTCATGTAGATCCTTTGTTTCTCCGTAGCTACCTGCCAGGAGAAATAAAAGGGATAATTCAGATAAACCACCTGTTTTCTGGAGTACTTGTAGGTGCACAGTAAATATGTTTCTCCTCCCCTTCCCTAGGTCTCTTCCTGTTTTGTATGCCTTAATCATTTCTTTAAAGCGAATTGAATAAAAAATGAAGCTGAGCCCTTATTTTTTTATACAGTGTTTAATAAAATTCGAACTAGTCTTAGAATAATCTAAATTTTAAACTTTGAAACTTGGATAGGTGTTTAAGTAACTAAATAAAAATCTTGGAAAGGTAGCAAACATTGTTACTGAGTGCTTAATGTGTAACCAGGCGTTTTCTGAACATTATCTCATTTGGTTTTTGAATAACCCCCTGTGAGGTAGGTACTATCTCATTGTACAGGTAGAAGGAAAAAGCAGCTAAGACACAGAGACAATAAGATAGTGAGGCGCACAGCTTGTTACTGGCATAGTTGGAATTTGAGCCTAGGTATTCTGACTTGATTGATCAAGAACAGGGATACTAATCTCGTTTTTGAAGTGTGATTTACCACTTTTTCTTACAGAATTGATACACTTTGTGTGGTGTCTGATAAATCTGTGGTTAACCTAAGGGCACAAAGATTTTCTCCTGTCTTTTCCTTGAGAACTTTTATAGTTTTAGTACTTAAATTTAAGGCTAGGGTTTATTTTCGCTTAATATTTGTGTATGGTGTGAGGGAAGGGTTAAGGTTTCTTCTTCTTCTTTTTTATTTTAATGGATGTCCAATTGAACCAGTGCCTTTGTTAAGTAGTGTTTTCTCCATTCAGTAACCTTGACCCTTTGTCCACGGTTGACAATGTATGTGTAGGTCTCTTTGACTCACTTTCGTTTTTATAGCCATCCTTTGACTAGTAACACCCATCCTCATTAGCTTCATGGTAAACTCGAATTAGGTAGTACAATTCTTCCAAACTGATATTTAAAAAAAAAAAATTGTTTCGGTTCTTTTTGGCCCACTGCATTTCCATATAAGTTTTTGAATCAGTTGGTTAATTGGTACAAAAAAAAAATCTGATGGTATTGTCATTGAGATTGCATTGAAATCTATAAATCTATTTGGGGAGTATTGATATTTTGAGTCTTCTGATTGAGGAATATGACATATCTTTGCATTTATTTAGGCCTTAAAAGCTTGTAGCATGGTTTTATAATTTTAAGTATGCATATCTTGCACATTTTTGTTAGATTCATCTCTTACTACTTCATAGTTTTCAATGCTATTATAAATTGTACTTTTAAAATATAATTTTATAATTCTTTGTTGCCACTATATAGAAATACTGTTTATTTTTGTAAGCCAGTCATTCTAAACTGACCTGTTAGTTCTAGTGGCTTTATTTTTGGAGATCTTTGGTATTTTCTCTGTAGATGGTCATGGAGTTTGTGAAGAAAGCTGGTTTCGTTTCTTTTTTCCAATCTGTGTGTCTTTTATTTCATTTTCTTAATTATACTGTATGTTGAAAGGGCAGTGGTGGGAGTGGCCATCATTGTTCTGCTCCTGATCTGTGAGAGGGAAAACTTCCAGTCTTTTACATCTGATGTTAGCTATAGGTTTTTTTGGAAATGCTTTTATCAGGATGGGAAAATTCCATTCTGTTCCTAGGTGGGTTGGTGTGTTTATCAAAATAGATGGTGAAAATTTTGTCAGATCCTTTCTTTTTTCAACTATTAAAGTGAACATATAGTTGTTCTGTTGATATGTTGATTTTTTTTTAAGTGTTGAACCAACTTTAAATTCCTATGATAAACTTAGTCATGATGTGTTTTATCTATGGCAGGATTTTGTTTGCTGATATTTTGTTAAGGATCTTTATTTCTCTGTTCACGAGGGATATTGGCTTAATTTCTTCTAATGACTTTGAGACCGTGACACATTTTAAAAGCTTTTGATACATTTTACCAAACTATCCTACGGAGAGGTCACAGTCATTGTCCCACTGGCCTTGTCTGTCTTTACCCATTTACTTGAAAAAAAAAATCAGTGAGAAATGTGTTACCATTTGAATTTATCTTTCTTCGATTCTGTTACTGAACATTATTCATTTATTTCACTTGTATAATTTCTGTGTATGTGTATTGCTTATGTTTTGCCCTGCTTTTCCCCTGTACTGTTTTTTTTCTGTTGATCTCCAAAATGTCCTTAAACGTTAGTTACTGTCTCTGGCTTTTTAAACTTTTTTTTATATCCCTTGTCACACAGAATTGTGCGTTGGCCTGCCTCCCTTACTGAATTTTGAATACCTTGAAATTAATGTCTTACTGACCAGTATGTTTTCAGGGCCTGATACGGTGTCTAACTCCTGTTGAATTTCAAAAATGTCTCATGAAAAAGTGAGTGAATTACTGAATTTCTTATTCTTTTGCTTTGATAGTTTTATTTGCTGTGAATTATATATAATTCATGCATGTGGGGTTTATTTTTGGAAACCTCTATTTTGAAACTGTGTAAGATTTTGAAAATATATAAGATTTATCTGATTGACTAAAAATGATTGAAAAGGTTTTGTTTAATTTTCTATAAACATTAGCATAAATAACTTCCTTTTTTTTCACTCATTAAATTATATACCTGTGGAGGCCAAGCTTTGGAATTTAGATAGTAGTTGAAATTATCTAATAGTAATGATGCAAAGATCTAATTAAGAATACATTTGCATGGTATACTATAAAAAGTTCTCTCTTTAAAATACCTACATGATTTATTTTAGATGTAATAAATTGGAAATAGATGACCTGTATGTCAAATGTGAGGAATAGTTTGTAACAGCATGGATTTTGAGATGCTGATAAAGGAATGTTTTTCTCTTTCTTCCTGCTCATTCCCTAGTACTGTACACAGCCAGAGTTGAAATCACTGGTTCTTTGGCTGAAATAGAAATACAAAGGCTTACTGCCTTTAAGCCCCCACCTTCACCTAGTCTTGCCAGCTTTATATATTATGTGCCTTCGGGCTTTCAAAGTCAGTATTTACTTGTGCTCAAATTATCATCAGCTTTTTGGTTCTTCATCATGTTTTTAAGACATATGGTTTTGAGTGTGATTTTTGCATCTGCAGTCACAAATCAGCTTTCCATTTTAGCCTTTGTTCTTGCATTTTATATTTTAGTATCGAGTTGTACTCACTGGAGGCTGTTTTCTTCCTTTATTACCTATTTTTAAGGATAGACCTGAGAAAGTAAAGAAAACCAAACCATAGTCAAAATGGAAATAGTACTATTATTTACACATAAATGAATGTATTCCCCTTGGGAGACTAAGTCCTTTTTCAGACACCGCTGTCTTTGTATTTTTGTTGCTCCTGTTTCAGAATTGCTTTTGGGGACAACATACCATACACACCAGAGAACTGGTCATATTACTTAAATCACAGGCTATTCTTTGTTGCGATTATCTTTTCTTTCCTTTCCTGCCTCCTTAGGAAAGGGAGGAGATTTGTAGAATTCATTTAAAGTTTGGAGCCAGTGGAGACACATTGAATTGCAGATGACATGGGATTTGTTTAATAATCCTATCACTGTCATTGGTAAAATAATGTATTTGGTGTTTTATCATATACCAAATTCTTACAAGTTCTCATTTTATCCTCATGACAGGAAAGGCAGATGATGGTATTTAAATTTCACAAAGCCTTTTAAATGACTTTTCCAAAAAGGCACAGTGGTGGAGTCAGTACTCAGAACCTATCTCTGATGCCAAATTACATTCTCCTTCTCCTCTGTCCTGTTGCCTACCATAGTTGGTACTTAGTTTGCTGGCTCTAAGTGGTTGATGTCGGCGTAATTGACAGCACTTTAAATAACTTTGTGCTGCCTATTGTGTGCAGACATGTGGAATACAGAATTGATGTGTTTACCTCTTTAGACCTGGGCATGAATGGAGAGGAGAGGTACTGAGTGCCCGGTGCAAGCAATGTCTTCTGGAAGACTGCCCTGTCATAGGTCTTTGCTGTTTGACAGGATCAAGGCATTGGCAGACAAACCTATTTCCTTAGCACTGGAGAGCGAACCATGAGTGACAGAGCAGTAAAAGAGATGGGTAGGAGAGAGCCCAGCTGGCATGATCACACAACAGGGCAGTAAGAGGTTGGCTGACCTCCTGTCATAGGGAAGAAACTTGTGTTTGGCTAGTTTTATTGGCTGCTGGCTAGAAAGTTGACCTCCAAGGAAACAGTGTTAGAGAAGAATATGAATATATAATTTAGGTGATGAATTTGAAAATGATTTTAAAACATTTTCTTAAATAGAAGAGTGGAATCTCTAAGCATATACTTTTGTCTTTCTCATTTTATAATTGTTTAGAGATGAGACTGAGGTGGATTCCATTTTTAACTTAGCACTTGTGCTTTTAAAGCCATCAGAAGAATAAACCTAGGTCAGCCTTAAGATTTGAATGATACTCATAGATAAT